AAAATTGAATCCACAGCAGGTCTGCCTCATGCTAATTGTTTGTAGTTGGCCAACCAAAAACATGCTCCAACAGGAAGTACTTAACTGGAATAACAAAACAGAAYTCACTTAGGCTGCATTTGGCATTCTTTATTTTAAGCACTTATCTCCTATTTGCAGTTAAAATGCTCCTATGAACACTGAGTTTTTAACATCGAAAAGGATATAAGTCCTTAAAATAAGGAATGCCAAATGCAGTCTTAGTTGTCCCGAAATCTAAGGCCTAGATAGTATGGATGAATCGACCAGCTTGAGCCCCATAATAAACTGGTAATGTCGAAGCCAAAAACTGGTGAGAGCAGGGTTTCAGTCAGTTTAGGTAATTGATTTAACTCAACCTACAAAGTAAAGAACTATTTCATGTTCCTTTGACTCCCTCAGATCACATTCCTTGCCTTCCATTATAGAATAATAAAAAATAAAGCTTACAGTTTCTCTGCAGTTCACCAATACCGAGGAAAGAGGAAGAAGATTCATCTGTAGAGTGCTACTTCACTTGTTTTCCTTCTTTTGGTGGATAAGCTGCACTTTATGAAGAAAAACTTGAAGAAGAGATGCACGGAGATTCACAAACAGAGGTTCATAGCCACTGGACTGGATCACTGGACATCTGCTGGTGGAGGAACTCTTCCAAGGAGCGATCCTCCACCGTTACATAAAGACCATTACCCAATATTGTCTCAGCCATCTGGGGCTTTGAGATGAGTACATTCCCTAGAAACACGTCTAAACTGTTCATGGAACTTTGTGTCCATCTCCAGACATTCTTTCAAATTTCAACAATTCAAGAAACGTTAACATTCAGCAGACCCATTTGAAATCTCCTCTAACCCTTTTACACATGCTTTCACTAGGTTCGATGGAAGTTATGAATTTGAATTGCAAACGCATAAGCGCATAAAAAGACAGCCGGAGATAAAAGAAAGAGAAAATTACCGGGCCGTTGATATTAGATTCGTCGAACATCCACTTCTGCTCCTTGGGAACTACTGCACCTCCCTGGCAATGAATCTGGTTGGGGGTTGGCTTAGAGAGGGTAAGTGCTCGAGCTTGAATAGAAGGTTTGGCTGCTGCAACTGGAAATCCAAGGAACGGAGTCTTGGGAGAAGCAAACGAGTATACTTTCTGGGGTGGAGTGGACAGGAAGGCCGATGAGGGCGTATAAACTGCAGCCATTTCTCTTCTCCTGGGAGTGTTATTCCACTACTACTACTCAGTGGATAAGGTGGCGCTGACGGTTAACGGGGAACAGGCATCCGACTTTCGAGTGCGCGGGGGAAAATATGTATGGGCAAATTTCTTAAACTACTCCTAACGCTCAGTTTAGATTACAAATACAAATATGTACTTTTCAAATTCATGCAAAATAATACAAAATACATATGATTACAAATACTACTGTTCAGTATTGTCTTAAAATGTCTAATTTACTCTAGATTATTTCTCAAATTTTCAAAATAAAACTTAATTCCTTCATGAATTGTGAGAAAAAAATTTATTCAGAGATTTTAGTAAGAAATTGTGAGAAAAAAACATGAATTTATGAGAATGGGTCATACATTTGGACATATTAGTCCTCCGCTCATCGATAATCATGGAACCTTTAAACGGAATCACCACCGAGACTTCATGTTTCCTTCAAGCCAGCCGGTCTGCTGTGCTGGGGCGAACTTGAATTAGGTTTCCCGGTTTGGGTGTACGTAACGGGAGAACCTCGGCTTTGAACAACAAAGAAGAAGAGAGGGGTGTACAAATCAGTTCCACCGTTGGAATGAGCGAACAGAGCTGAAGCAGAACAAACTCGTTGTGAGAAAACATAGCTGATGCTCTAATTCGTAGAGGCAACAACTCTCAAGAAGCATAACCCAGGAGGAGAGAGGGAGAGAGAGGAAAGAGGGGGAAAGAGCGCCCATTATTGTTTCGTCTAAGGCCATGAGTTTTGTGAGTAATTTCTCTGCAACTCTTTAATTTTGGCTCTCTTCCTTACATGAACTTTTTTTGATAGCTAGTTTTCTTTTTCCCTTCTTTAATTAAGGGTTTTCTTTCGGTTTCTGTGGGATTTGGGGAGTTAGGGTTTGAAAGTGAGGGAGACGAGCAGTGTGACGGTTTCATGGCAATGGCAATTATGTAAATAGTAGTATGAATGTAAGTATTTTGATGTATCCTTTTTTCATTCCCCCAAAAGTTTAACGTACTCTTTGAGGGGAGGTAGGTAGTCGAGTGAGCTCATAAGCGTGTAAAGGTTAAGCAYGARATYCCCTCGACACTGTACTGTGTGCTTGTGCTTACCACTGATTAATGCAATACAAGTTGCCTTTTGTCTAATTTGTGTGCACTCTTGTTTCTTTTTGTGTGTCGTTACTTGTATTTGTAGGCTTTCTCCACCCCAATCGAGCGCCGCATGGGGCCCCGTCGATTAGCCCTGTGACAGTTGGTATCAGAGCCTCGTTGACACTAGYGGTTGTCAAGCGCAACAAGTCCCTTTCGTGCCCTACAACAACACCAGCCGGATGAAGAATCGTGACACGCGAGAGGAGATCCAGGAAGGGATCTCACGGGTTTATGATGAGGACGAGCCTAGAGGTAGCTCTCCCAAGGACAAAGGCATCAGCTCAAAGCATAGCAAGCGTGACAAGTCAGTTGACAGG